AACCTTATGCACGCGGTAGAAGTATGTTCAGTAAAATTCTTACAATTAGGTTGTTTAAATGGTATGGTGACTCTAAACTTTTATGCGTATTTTTTTGGTGCATTAATGTGGTAGGATTATTGCCGAGCGGAGGTATGTGCTGCCTTAGGATGTGAATGTGCAAGTATATGCGAATAGATTTGATTGTGAATAGCTCTGTCAATATTTATTTATTTAAATGTTATTGTTTTGTTTACTGTTAGTTATTTATGTATTTTTATTTGGTACTTTTAGGAAAGCCTAAAAGCCCAAGATTGGAGCTCAAATTTCAAGACTTAAATGAATCAGATATCTAAAATCTAAAGTGTTAATACTTATGAATGGTAATTAGCCCGTATAGTAACTGCAAGCTGATTATTTGATTGGCGCAAATTGTGCAATGAAGTGTTAAAAATGTGATGCAATAAAGTGTTTTGTTTATTATTCCTTCATAACCCGAAACATATGCGACCATGTGTGCTAGTTGTAAGTTCTGTGAGCCTCAACAACATTTTTCCCTTACTATATCATTATCAATTTAAATTTTCATTCCAAACACTAACGCAGAAACGATGTAAATTTACGGATTATCTTTCTGTATTCATAGTTGGTGGAAACTTTTGTTGAAAACCATGAATTATTTCATGTTCAATCATATCTTTGCATTTTGCAGACAGACCTTCCATCGAAACCGAATCCAATGAGCTCACTTTTCAACTTTCCATCCTTTTCAAATTTGCACGAAAATTTCAAATACGATTTTTAACCACATTTTTCTTCCACTCGAAAGGTGTTCCCTTTGCCAAATTTGCCAATTGCCTTCGCTAAAGTTATTTTTTGGGCAAAAATTAATGCAAAATAGAAATGAATTATAGTAGATAACACATAAATTTGAATCTAAAAATATATTAGATGAATTGTATATTATAATATGATATTTATTATTTAATTTAACAATGTAAATACTACAATATTATATAAAATATATTATATAAATTATGTACTTTATATGTCTCATACCAGTCTCAACATATCTAAATAACAAGATCATTATCTAAATCTAGTTCATAAGAATAGATTAATTCGTCGAAGCATCTATTCATAGTTCTTGTATTTTTGTTTAACACGTTGACTACGATTGCTTAATTTTATACTATTATTTCATTTTTTGTACTGTTTTTAAACACTGTTGCCAGACGGTCATTTTCTCCGGACAAATTCCGTGATTTAGTTTTCTCAATTGCGTTGGCCGGCTAAAATTTATGATAGGGGTACTTCCTAATTAAAATTTAAATACTACAAATAGAAAATAAATGGAATTTTTATAGCGGAGCCTACAAATAAACTAGTAAATATTGAGTTATCGGTCTTTTTTGGCCGATAACTTAAATTTGGCGGAGGCCATTTTTTGTTCTCGGATTTGGCCGATTTTAGGCAACCTGAATTATGTACCACAACGTCCTGGAGAAATACATTTCTTGGTACGCATATGTACCACTTCGAAGTCAACGTGTTAAATATTCATATTTACATAAAGCGCAGAAACACTATCTCTTTGGCCTGCTCCGTCTGACGCACGAGTGTTCAGTAATACTGAGCTCAATGTTCGTTCAATACATCGCTTGATTAATTTAATCATTACCAACGATGCCAGCTTCCCAAAATAATTCCAGATGTTTGGTCAGTTTATAATATCTCTATGATCTCTTATCAGTTTGATTCAAATATTCTATTGTCCTATGTTTGCTAGATTTTTTATTGATTATTATTTGCCAGTTTGCTGTATTGATTTACCTGCAGCAAAGAACTCCAATTTCATGAGTGGGGTAAAAATGAAAAGTTAATGAAACTTAATTATGTTGATGAAATCGCCATAATCTTCATTTTAACTCATAAAAAGTTTTATAATTTGATTTGTGGAATTGTTATTCACATATTTTTTTCGGTTTCAACGTTCCACCTTCGCTTGCGTCACTTTTCGAAAATAATTCCACATTTCTGAAATATATGAAAATTTGGAAATTTTCACCAAAAAATAATTATACAACGTATTCTTAATCTATGAATTTATTTTGAATAAGTGTCAAATCAATGCATTTCGGAGTTTACCTATTCCTCAATTGTTAATAAACATTGATCGATAATGTTAATATCATTACATAATTTTAATCATAATGTCACATAACTTTAGGTGCAACACACTAGGTCAATTGAAACGTACTGTTTCACTCAAGAGTACAGAAATGTACTCTAAAATTATATGAATTTGAATCTATTTGCAATATTCACACGTTAACCTCGCTCGCAGCTTGAGCGGCATGTCTTACTTCCGTACAACGGTTGAAACACTGATATGCGCTGGATAGCGTGTCTTCATTGAACTAAATATCTAATACTAAGCTGAAAAGCAATCAGTATTGAAAATGAATAATAAAAATTGCGTCTGGTACACCATTCTAATCACCATAGTGACTAGACTAGAATCATAACAGAAGGATTTCTATGATCACGATCGGATCGTGAAACTGATGAAGGCAAATGAGGGAGCTATAGTCTACATTGGCATCTATATGCATCAAAAACACCCTCAGAGCTACATGCATGATGATGCATCAACTATACACATAGGCACTCATAGTAGATGCATCAAAAACATCCTGAGAGCGGCATGCATCAACTAGATACCTATACCCAGATGCATTCAAAATACACGTAGACACCCAAATCAAATGCATCAACTACATACTTAGACTTAGGCATCATAGGCATCATCTACAAGCGTTCCTAACACAATATTGCCTTTCAACTCATTTAATAGCCCATATCAGTCTCAGTTTTTTTTTATTATTTTCGAACTGATGATGGAGCTGTATTACGAAAAATTTCAATTGGAAAACAGAGAATTTTTTGGCACTTCTTTGCTATGAAATCACCAGTTAGCTTCGAGATTGATTTAGATAAAGAAGTTAGAAATTAATAATGATTTTCATAGTTCGGGGCGTTTTTATCAGCATTCTGTGTAGCAGGTGATGAAAATTATATGTTATTTCCGTAATCATCCTATCCTATCATTCAAGCTCTTATCTGAATTAATTTGATTCGGCGCCTCAAAAAATGGCGAAGTCTTTNCATGGATCCATTTGTTGCTGATAAATAGGTACTTAAATAAGCTTCAGTATGTTGTTTGCTCATGCTCCGGGCTCAGTTCAACGTATTTTTAAAGCCTTGAATATAGTAAATGAATTGCGCTATAGCGAATTAGATAGTTACTAATGGCATCCTAGATACTCGTTCATAGTATAGTAGATAGTTCCTGGTTTAGTATGTGCAGGTTCATTGTACGCCAGACAGTCGTTCATTGCACACGGAGCAGCTCCTGAACACACCTGCATTAGCCGCTGCAAAAACATACAACAGGAATTTCCCGGTACAAAGAAACTTTATCGAATTTCGTGACAAAATGATTGTTTTAATAATTAGGAACCGATTGGAAATAACGCCATATTTATCGGAGATATAAATTGATGAAAATCATGGATCGATCACTAAACAAAAATATTATTTTAATATAAAATTGAAATGCGACGGAATCTGATTACCCGCGAATCCATTTTATCCGCACCAAATCCATAATACCATAATACCAAAGAGGCCTCGAACACGTTGAAAATATTACAAAGTGACATTCTGAAATATTATACTAATATATTGCAACTTTGCGTGAGGCAGCATCTGAATTCTTATTTTATGTTAAAAATTTTCAACTAACACTGGCTACGAAATAACCGAGACGTGTTGCGTTCAGCACTTCTCAGCAGTAGAAATGCGCTTAGTCGGTGTAGTGGCGTTGGCGTTGTGGCTACGTTGGATGGAGTTGTGCGTCGCGAGGCTGACGATGTCCACTGATGTCATCTTTGAGGTTGATGGATACTACGGCATCCAGGGCAAGGGGCTGTGGCCCAACCAAACTTTCATCGAAACGGAAGTCGAGAGCATGTGTGAGTATGAGTGGAATGTAAATTTTCGTTTTTTCTATTTTTGTTCTCGGGAAACATTGGGGTAAATGCCGGAACAATATGAGAAAGATAAATACTTGTAAATTTAATTAAATTGAGACAGATTCAAGCCGAGATAAAATGAATTGTCATTTTAATTAATTTTATGGCATTTACTTCGATTGCCAAAAGAATATTCGATTTAGAGTAATTTAAATGGCTGGAAGAAGCATCCAGCAGATAATAGTATTGTTTCAAAGCAACATCAAGAATAGAAACTAATAATAAATAAATTACCATTGTCCGCATTGTCATCGTTTTAACTGAAAATGTTATTAGTTAGAAATTCAACTGTTCATTACGGGAGACATGAATTGTCAGATTATATGACATGAGTGATTCGTCTACATTGATTTTTTTCGAACAAAAAGTTTTGAATATCTAGCATATTCTGCCGTCATGAAACTCATACATAGAGCAGATGTTTTACAGAGTAGAGCTGTGCAAACTGTACTGAAAATTAATTTTTCTGACCTGGAAAATTAGTTGAAATCTGAAAGTAAGTTTCTTTTGAATACAATATCCTGCCAATGTTCGAATCTAACTGCTTGCTTTATCGCATTTGAAACTCAGTAACTAAGTGTCAACTTTGGCCCTGAAAATTCTTACTTGATTATTACTCAATATTTCCAAAAACTCCCTCAAAAATTTTGCAAATAAAAATTACTTCCCACATAAAAGAAAACTCGAATGAAGGCAGAAATTTTTTCGAATTACAATTGGTTAAATTCTAGTAGATTATCAAACGCTGCATTCTTTAGTAATAAATCCCTTAACTGCCTTTTTCAATTGTATGCACAGGCGTTTGCCGTATGCGGTGCTTCGTGCACACGGCGTGCGTGGCGTTCAGTGTACGTCTGAGCGCGAACGGAGCCATCGTGTGCGGGCTGGCCAGAGAAGACGTCTACAATAACACGCCGAGCGACGTCCCTGAGGCTTCGTACTTCGTCAAGAAACGTAAGTAGACGTACCAAAAATATATATATAATAATCAATGATAAGACTTTTTATGGATTGTTTTAAAACTAATTTTTTGGGGGTGACCTCGAAATTGGTGATATATATATATTTTTTTATTTCTGTGACTTTTAAAAATGTTCCAGTGGAACAGAAATTGTTCTCATTCTGTTCAGTCGCAATTCTACAGTTTATAGATGCCGTATATGTTCATAATGAATTCTATTTAATCTCTCATTATATTTTCCCGATCGAAAAAGACAAATTTTTTTAAAGACCAATTTGCAATTTTAAACATGCGCCAATGATTTAAAATAAATCAGTCACTGTATTATTTTCAAAAGCGAAAAATTTGACTAACTGCCTGATCTAATTGTTCCAAACTCGAATTACTTCACAAATTGGCATAGGCCTTAGCATCTGCGTAATTAAATTTTTGCGTTATGAGTAAATGTTTCTTCCGTGATACACACTAATGAAAATTTATTTTTCAGAAAGAATATCTTACTCGAAATCGGTCCAATATCATTTTTTAAAAATGACATTGCCTTTAAACGATGCAACTTACTTTCATGTATTCATATTCTTCATTGAAATCTTAAGACTCCATCAAACAAATGTATCTTCTGTCAATCTAACCTATAGGTACATTATTTATTTGTTGGTAACATTCTAAACCAATAAGTCACAAAATTTTTTTCGCTGCCGAGAATTTTCAAAATTACATTTTTCCCACTGGTCTTTCGCTTTCTATGGCAGTCTTACAAGCTCAATAAACAATAATATACTGGATTCGTTTTACAGAAAATGCTACTCTAAAATTTCAGATCAGTTGGACATGAAACCTTCGGGGAAACCTTGGGCCATCGACCGTCTGATTTACCGACGCTTGAACACTAAATTCAAAGGCTTCAACGCCAGCAAGGCGGCCTGCGAGGCCATCCCCGGCTTCCACCTGATTGCCGTCAGGTTCGAGGCCCAGATGTCCATCCTGCTGGAGTTGTGCCTCGAAGGAAAACCCAGCTCGGGGGAGAAAAAATGTGATGAATCAAGCAGGTGGTTCTACGTTGACATGGTCGAGATCAACAACGTAACCATGATCCAAGGTAAAATACCATTGACTGATACCGACATCACAAGCGTTTGTAGTAACGATCGTGATAAATATTACTTCATCTACGCGCATTCTGGGCTGATTCACGATGAGGACCCAACAAGCTGGGAAGTTAACCCTGTCTGTCAGGCCAACGTCTTTGGCGTGAGCTGGTAGATGTTGGCTTGAACTGGTCATTGTACCATGAAGTGATGCACATGAAAAGTTTTCACGTTCAATTTTTTTTCTTCAACTCGCTGCACGTAAATTTCACCCTGTAAATTTTTCATAATTTTGCTTCACATAATAGAGGTTTCGAGTCTCAGAACTACAAGGAAAATCAATAAATTGTTTATACAATAAGAATGTCTTAGGATTTTGTGTTATCGCCCAAATGAAATTTTTGATGTCTGTTAATGCAATTTGACTTTTTGAGTAACTGAGCAATCAGAGAAATCATTAGGACATTTATTAATTAGCAAGGCACCTTTTGCCCGTTTTTGCGTCATCTTGACCTGGGGCCATACTTTCAAAACTTGCTAAGTGCACGTAAGTACTTACGCTATATTTTCTTGTCTATGATTGGTGAATTTTGCTTGAAAGCCCGTCAATGATTGGCTGATGAACTTACGACCACTTTTAACTTTTTTGAAAGTATAGGCCCTGGTTTGCCCGGAACAAGAGCGTATCAATGCAATGTCCGCTCTTTGCTTGAGCTGTGCGTAAGAAAGTGTGTCATTGTTTGTACACTATTATGACCCATTTACTTGTGAGCACATTTCACTAAATATTTTTGTGCTGTCGCACTTGAGTTATTAGAGAATAAGTAATTTAAGCTGGTAACTTGAGTAGAAAAATGTTTTCCCCTTACGAATAAAATTTAAATTTTCTGAGATAGATATTTTTTCAGCATCAGTTGGCATTCAGGAAATCTTCTTTGCTCTCAAATGGATAACAGAATTCCTAACATGATATCACCACATTTACAATATTCTACACGATTACTGTATTGAATACGTGTTGTTCTGCTCGATTACGTGTTGGTCTGCACGATTACTGTAATAAATACGTGTGAATACTTTTGCAAAAACTCAATCGCGTAATTCTTAACCATTAAATATTTTCTTCATAATCGTAATTTAAAATTAGTCGCTTCAGAACATGGTAAAACGATCGGGTTCAAACTTGAACGTTTTTTACGAGACACCAATAGATTTTTAGTATTTTAAGAAAACGGAAACGATTTCAATGGCGTCCTATAATGTAAAAGTTATGCAATTTCCGCTCATTCATTCAATCAACACAGTTTCCACTCATACCTGTAATCGTGAATTCTCCAATATAAAGTACATTTAATGTAAATTTATTGATTCATAGCATATTCATGCAAATATGTTTTTTAGAGATTAATCTATTTGATTTGTCTCTTCCTAGTACAATTTTGACGCGTGAATGTGATCCTCTATTTACTATTAAGTCACAAGAAAGTAGATGTGGGAAAGAATGTGAGAATTTTTTTATCCTTGATGTCAAGAAAACTGTTCTTTATATGGGACGAAGAAACAGTGGCCCACGGTTGTTGAACGTCGTTCTCAATTCATGCCGTCGCCTATTCATGCCGATTTTCATTATTGAAAAAATGTTTTCATGTATCAATTTTTTCTAGGACAGAATGAATTCCTAGGAAAATATTTTTGCGATTAATCAGGAATATAAATGATTCTGTGATGGTGACAGAAGGTGTCTTTACAGCAAGGGAGATGATATAAGATGGCAAACGACACATTTTACAGTTCTTCATTTAGTTCATATAAACTTTTTTAAGTGGGAACAGGTTGATTTCAAGTCACTTTAAAGTTAAAAATTGGACGATAAACATGCAAATAGTAATGGTAAAGTAATATCTTACAAAGACTTTGGAAAATATTATACTTTCTGCGGCAACAATTTTTTTCCTGCTGGAATTTACGTATCCCTATTGGTTTGAATGTTAAAAAAAAACGTATTAATTCTAAATAAATTATAACGGCTGGAAGAAAGTTTTCGAAAACTTTTTGTAAAACATAGAAAAAAATTAGAAAAATAAAAAAATGTCTAATTGAACCAATGCGTTTTAACCTATTAAAAGTGAAGCGAAATGATCAACTAGTTTTCACACTATTTGCGTGTTTAGAACACACAATTTTTCAATACAACTCCACGTCTTCCTCAATTCTGGAACCGTGCAAATTAATATTAATTGAGGTCAGCTTTGGATTGAAATTTTCGCCTAATAATAAAATATTCAAGATTTATTTGATATGTTTACTTTACGAACCGAAGTTGTTGAACGAATTACGAGTTCTTAATCCGAGACGTGATGTTTAATTGAGGAGTCCGTGCGAGTAACAGATCCTGAGTGAAACCTATTAACCATTGTCGTTAATAACCTTTTAACGCTATGTAAATAAAATTCCTATGATCTTCACAGTAGGGAGTGATTCGAAAAATATCTTCTTGTTCATAAAATATTGCAAGAAGACAACAATTTAACAAACAAAGGAAGTTAGTGTACTGAATTTAAACACGGCGAAACATTCATATAAGATATTTCAAACAAACTTTATATAATATTTTTATATATTAAAAGGTATATTTTTTTACTTTAAAAATCGAAATTTTGTAAACACATGTTACATAGTAGGGAAGAGTTATTCTGTATAAACAATATTCGATAAAGTGAAAGTAAATAAATCGTCCTTCTGGAAGTAATATCGATCTTCTGGAAGTAATATTGTTCTTTTGAAAGTAATATCGATCTTCTGAATGTAATATCGATCTTCTGGAAGCAATATCGATCTTCTGGAAGCAATATCGATCTTCTGGAAGTAATATCGTTATTTTGAAAGTAATATCAATCTTCTGAATGTAATATCGATCTTCTGGAAGTTATATCGATCTTCTGGAAGTAATATCGATCTTCTGGAAGTTATATCGATCTTCTGGAAGTAATATCGATCTTCTGGAAGTAATATCGATATTCTGGAAGTAATATCGATCTTCTTCAAGTAATATTTTCTGAAAGTAATATCTTCCGAAAGTAATATATTCTGAACGCAATATCTTCTGAAAGTAATATCTTCTGAGAGTAATATCTTCTGAAAGTAATATCTTCTGTAAGTAATATCTTCTGAGAGTAATATTGTAGCTGCGCTAATCGTCCGTCTTTTGGTGTTCCAGGTTCACGCTGGTGACGAGTAGGATGCGTCGCATTCGCCCAGGGTCTTTTTAATGATCAGCGTTGAGGGTGACTGCAATCTGTTGTCGCGTAAATTTTGGAACATTATTTGGTAATTTTATTAATATGCAATGCTGAAAAAATCGATCCCTTGGTTGTTAGATTACCGCAGCAATTACCTTCATGATCTCTTTGAGTGACGGGTAAGCCTTGAGAGCACATGATGTTGGTATGAAATGTCGATACCTTTAGCTTGGATTTGTATTAGATTGGTTTGCACAATTTCCTGCGTGTTGAAATGCATAAGATAATTGCTGATATACACCCCGTAATTTTCTTATTTTGTGGCAGTGCTTAGGTTGATAAGAACGTTATGTTCCTTCGTGTATTTAATGCTTATTCCAGGTGTACGTGGGCACCAGACTTACCTTCTCTCTTATGGTTACGAGAACTTCGAATAAGACGCCTTGAATTTTCCAATGAACTGGAGGAATTGAAGAGCACAAGCTCTATACGAGTGGAAACCTAGGAGTCATGTAGGCGAGTAGTTCTCGCTGGTCGAGAAATACACCTGGAGACCAATAATATTCTACTATTGCGAAATTAGGCGTTTATCTCGCTACTCGTACTTTGTGCGTTTTCGCATTGTGGTTCAATGGTGTTTGACAGGGGGAATTAGGGTTAGTGTTTGTAGCAGATTTTAACAAGGCCTCATTTTTGCGGGCCTTACTCTTACCGTGACATGTTACGCCATGGTTTTTGGAGTCTCCGAATAAACCTTTGTACCCCGAGATTCAAGGAAGTTTTTATCACTATCGCTACAAAAATTGAAGGATAGCCTAAATATGTTGGAAGCTCTCCCACAACAATATATTCTACAAGTAATACTAAATGCGCGACGGAAAGTCATCAGAGTCGGGCCGCAGCTGGATGCACATCTGGGCCTCGAACATGACGGCAATCAGGCGGAAGCCGGGGATGGCCTCGCAGGCCGCCTTGCTGGCGTCGAATCCCGTGGCATTTGCGCTCAGGCGGCGGTAAATCAGACGGTCGATGGCCCAAGGTTCTACCAGCTCGTGAATGCAATGTACCCCAGGCTTGATAAACTGGCATAATTATACAATACTGCTCATAAAATTAGAAATTAGAAAAATTTTACACAAACTGGAAGTAATAATGAGACTTGCATTGTCTGTTGCAATGAGAAGGATGTGCAATAATGTTTTGTCTAATTTTAGTGCAAATAATTTATTTGGATGGAATTTTAAAGACATACAAGATCAACTCTGACACCTAAATAAAAAAAACTCACTTTTCTTGACAAAGTACAAAGTCCCAGGGACGTCGTCGGGCGTGTTGTCGAAGATCAAGATACAGTGCACAATGGATTAATTTATATGCTGTGAATACTCTTGGGAAAGGAATTATAAAATGCATGTGGTCAAATTTAGAACATTATTTTCAAGGTAACTGAAAATATATTTTTTTAGTACAGAAACGCAACATTTTGAACGAAATATGTTAGTCACCGTATCAAAAATACGTAATTTCATTTACTCGACCAACAAATGAAGTCCAAGCAGCTAAAGCTCCATTGTAAATAAATCAAAAATTCGTGAAAGAAACTCATTTATTTGAATTAAGTTTAAGTTTAATATTGTTTAATATTGATTAGTATTAAGTTTAATATTGATCAACATAGCCCTTCCTGCGCACATTGATTTCGAATGAGCGAGACTGTGTCGCAGCGTTAATTCAGTTCAGCTTATATCAAGACGCATTAGTAGCTGTGGCATAGTGCTGGGAGTAGCTGTTGGCTTATTCGAAAAAAAAAAGAAAATTTGGCCGTTATCTTCTTCTTTGCAGTTAAATTCTTCGTCCGGCTAGTTATTTAAACAGTCTTTCTGTCATTGCACGTATGTATTTATGTAATTTAAATTCGAGGTCCATATATACCTTATTTTGCTAAGGAAATCAATTCAAATGCAAACATTTCCTTTTCCAATTGACATTATCGTACCCTAGTTTCGCAGCACAGCATATATATACGCATGTATTGAATAAAAATGAACCGAATATTATTTAAAATGATCTCTGGTCGTCAATCAACGATCAAATCGTATTCTTCGCCATTTTACTAGCGATAAATTTGATGAAGCCTCATTTACGGTGATTCAGACAGAGTATCAAATGGGGCCAGCAGTGCGTGACTTCCTTAGATGTGATATTGAGACTCGTTGCAGTGCAGTCACCAGCCATAAATATTGTTAATTAGAACAGCAATTTAGCAATGATTGCGTAATATTGAATCGACCGTCTGATGTTCTGTAGAATGGAATAAAAAAATTATTTTTTTTTCGATTTTTTTTTATCATTGAATTTTCTGTCTCAAAAATTCACATTACACGCCGCAGAGGATGCGCTGTCATTTACATCCATGCGTTTATTTCCATTGGCACTTCAAATCAACCTCACTTTTGACAATATATTTTCAAATGGCCGATCTTTAGATCTCCTTCGAAAAAGCCAAGCAGAGTACAAAAATCGGCAATAGACAATGAATGAATTTCTTCAGCACCAACACTCTTATTCTATCTCTATTCTACATTTCATGAGACAATAGATGAATGTACTTGAATTGTAGTCTTCGATGAGACAGTATTGGACAAAGTACTCATTCCATCGACTTTCACTTTGTAAATGGAATAGTTGATTTGATGTGGTTAGTGACTCCTTGGTTTGGGCTCCAGTCAAAGTTTAATGCATTTCTGACGACTTGACGACAGTAAAGATTGGCACCTCAGTTCAAGAGACAGTCGCGTATTTCTGTAGCTCGAATATACACGTGCTGATGCAGCTGCGAAAATAACATTTATCTTGCATATTTGTGGTCATCGAAACACGTACTCATAAATCTTACATACTGGTTGAACGGTGATGAATCGTGTAGAAATCTTACCGTTCTATAACACAAAATAAACTTTAAAAAGTCATAGATCATTCGTAAAGAAAAAGGTAGTACTTAAATATGTTATGTAATAGGGGAATAAATTTGCTCCTCTGATTGTTTAATTGGCAATTAAATATCACAATGTTATTTATGATAACATGGGAGGTCGTCAATAAACACTAAACATGGTTGAACCTCAAAATCTGCAATATTATTGTGCAAATTATGTAACACTTTTTGCACGTAGCACTGATACACTTTTTAGCAGGATCGTGCTGAGTCTGGATGAATGAACCACGCGAAGGCAAAAAGTGCATCAATATTTAGACAAATTCTATCTTTTTATTAGTTTGCATAATGCAAGATAAATTGACCACCTGAAATATCGTTTTCTGCCAAGAAAATTCAATAATACAAGCAGAAATTCAGCATAATTCAACTAGACGCATTGCAATCAACTGTCATCCCGAACGTGGACATGCGTTTCGCCGCTGTGGCGCTGGCGGCGTTGGCGTTGTGGCTACGTGGCATAGGTTGGTGCGTCGCGGCGCTGGCGATGTCTACTGACGTCATTTATGACGTGGGCGACTTCTACGGCATCCTGGGCAAGGGGCTGACGGCCAGCCAAGTCTTCGTCGAGACGCAAGTTGAACGCACCTGTGAGTAAGAGTTGAATGTAATAATTTTTTTATTATTTCAAAATACAGAGAACAAATATTCCTTGTTCAAACACGAATGAAGAACGTTTGATATGCGAATCTCTCTAAAGATTCTTAAATATAACAGGGATTCTGAAATAGATTTTTAGATTTTCTGGGATTTTGAGAAATATTTGATGCTAACATGATCATCATAGTGATGTTTAGTTATTTTTTTTATCTCTGGTGTATTCTAAAAATGCAATAGAGATACGATTCCTAGAAGAGAACCGTGACGTAAGCCCACGAAAATGAGATGTGTTCTGGTGAATGATCCATAAGAAGATACGACGAAGTCCTGAAAATAACTCGTTCATACCAAATGATCTAAGAACAGGTAGAATAATGTGAAAACGAATGGAAATGAAATAATGATATCAAAGAATATATCTATTGTAAAATCTAATGCATAATTTTGGGCAAGAAATTACAATTTCAAGTAAAATATAAATAATTCTTAAAATCTATAAGATCGACTAATATCAGTTTCAAAGTCATTACTTCTGAAGCAAAACTTTACGCGTATGAACCAACCTTGCACTCAGAGAAATGGTGTAACCTTGTCCAAATAGCGATGGACTTTTTGTTCTTGTGTGGGTCATCCTGACCCATTTTTTCCAATAAAAACAGCGTATCAGTGCTACGGCCGCTCCCTGCATGTCCTGTGGGTAAGAAACCGTGTCACTTTATGGACAATATGACCGATTATTTTTCTGAGTAAACAGTACATTTTCAACCTAAATTAATGACGTGGGGAAGTATTGGATTTCAAATACTTTATAAATGTTATTGCAATAACCCAGCAAATCGATTGTGAACATTCTTGAACCACTGATGCAATAGAGAAATAATGAAATAAAATTTTTACTGAGCAGGTATATTGCAAATATGAGACTTATTACTCCGAAAAAATTATCGCATTATTATAATTACAGGAATTCAATATTAAACATTTTATATTTCAACTTATTTATTAATTTTTCTAGCACAAAATCTGCAATAGTCTTCTAGCCATGTTGGGATTCGCCAGCACAGATTTCTTAAACCAAAAATTTCAAATAAAAATTGACTTCTGTAGCCAATTTATAACAAGATGTTTAAAATAGATGGGCAACTGAGAAGAAAAAAACTTCTGAGGAGCAAATTTATTATGAGTAAACTGGCGGAAATTCATAATTGCGTATAAGTCACAATTATACTCATATATAATATAATAATAAATCATAGTATAGTTATTTATAAAAATACACCATAAAATTTACTCCAAAATTCACATTCAGCGAACACATACAAAGAACTCTGTCTGAACTCATCAACTCTGTCTGAACTCTGAAACATCAACGGGATCGAGAGAGTCATTAGCTGACCACTTGCATAATTAAAACCAGGCCGATTTTCTATGATATCTCTTGTATAATTACGAAGCACATGCATCAAGTTCAGCCAGTCACAAATAATATTTTAAATGAAAAAATAAGCAGGATATTTCACGAAAGAATTTCAGTAGTTTGGATAAGTTTTCATGCACATTACGCAGGAGTTCTCATCACTTATGAGCCCCACTCAATTCTACGCCCAGGCGAGTGCCGTATGCGGTGCTTCGTGCACACGGCGTGCGTGGCGTTCAGTGTTCGCCCGCACCCACACGGCGCGCTCGTGTGCGGGCTGGCCAGAGAAAACGTCTACGTCAACACGCCAGGCGACGTCCCTGGGGCTTCGTACTTCGTCAGGAAACGTAAGTAGATGGATGAAGAGCATCATGTCATTTTTAGGTAGAATTAGCAACTCTCCAGTTTGTCCTTTTTGGACAAACCGTAATTTTAAAAGCAAATTTTACAGCCCACCAGGTTTCGCGAAAACTTAAAATGGTTTCGGTTTGTCTGTTTTGCTGCAACTGTTCAGTTTGTTTTGAAAGGCTCATAAGCCATAACTAGCCATAAGCTAGTGATTTAACAAAATTCATTTAAGGTAATATTTCTTTAGTGCAAATTTGACAGCCTGTAATAATTATCAGACAGCTTCAAGCACGAATTTCTCCACAATGTCGGTCAAATTCTCAGTCCTCGTTCCGAGTATACAATTTCTCTCCTAATCGGCATGAATGGCTGATATTGTAGTCCGAACTAACAATTTTTCTCTGAATATGTCCCATATCATCATTCATTGATGTTTTTGTACATATCTATTCAACCTGAAAATTATAAATTTCATTTGGCCGTAACATTTCCAATCAATTAGCCTATCGAGCTTCTACGTTTTTGGGGCTTTAGACTCAGTATTTTATAACTTTCATTTTACCCTGAAATGATCTCTAAAGTACAAAAGCTCTTCAAATATCATAGAAATTCTTACGTAACCAGAGCTCTTGGAACCTTGGGCCATCGACCGTCTGATTTACCGCCGCCTGAGCGCAAATGTCACGGGCTTCGCCGCCAGCAAGGCAGCCTGCGAGGCCATCCCCGGCTTCCGCCTGATTGCCGTCATGTTCGAGGCCCAGATGTCCATCCTGCTGGAGTTGTGCCTCGGCAGGAAACCCAAGCCGGGGGAGACAAACTGTGGTGATCCGAGCAGGTGGTTCTACGTTGACATGGTCAAGATCAACAACGTACCCATGATACGAGGGCAAATACCTTTGGCTAATACCGACATCACAACCGTTCTTATTAACGAACTTGAAGCTGCCTTCATCTACGCACATTCAGGGCAGATTCACGATGTGGACCCGATAACATTTGGACATTTTCCCGTCTGCCAGGCCAACGTCTTTGGCGTCAACTGGTAGATGTCGAGTAATATTCAAGTAATATAACTTTTCCCATTTTCCCCATTTCTCCCACAAAAAATGTATTATGGTGTAATGGTAATTTTACTCAATTACCCATCAATGCAATTTGGCGTCCTTGTTAGTACTCAGGATGTGCAACCTTGTGTGTATGGTTATTTCGAATTTATGCATATCGCAGAGTAGATTTATCGTTACTTTTTGGCCAATTATCAGGGGCCATACTTTCGAAATTCGCAAAGTGAACGTAAGTACTTACGCTCTATTTTTTTGTCTATGTTTGGTGGATTTTGCTTGAAAGGCCGTCAATGATTGGCTGATGAACTTACGAACACTTAACTTTTTTTTAATGTATAGACCCAGGCCTGTTCACTGTATACGTAGTTACGCTCAATCGCAACCTGGCATGTACCTAGAATTTTGTCAGTTCAGCCAGAATTATTATCAGGTTTTCGAACCCCATCAACAAGTTCATTACACTTGGGGTTACCTTGTTGATGGTGTTCTAGAATCCTGTTCCCCTAATAGTGATTTTTCAAGGGATTAAATTTTCTTTCTACATAGAGCTTCATCTTTTCCAATATGCTTATCCGCTTCATGTATTCGAGAATCTGAATCTCGGAAGTAGACGAAAAGCGAAATAAATTCTGTACAGAATTACCTGCGGGCATGAAGAACTAAGGAATTGTGTTGAACTCAGAATTAAAATTTCTAAATACGTGAAGTTCAACGCAATGAAGTTTCTCGAGCGACTGTACACTCTGCGACGCACTTCTGTTCAGTGAGTGGGTCATCTTTACTCAGGTCTGGCACACGTATCAGTGCTACGTCTGCTCGCTGCTTGCGATGTACGTGAGAAAGTGTGTCGATATTTGGACAATAAGCTCCATTCCTTTTTCTGTGTGTGCGTTTCACTCTGAAGTTTGATGCCTCAGACTAACACATAACCTAATAACCTAAAAATAAATCTTCTTGTCACTTAAGAATAGAATTTGGATGCGTAAAAATATATACCTTTTATTCACCAATTCGGATTCAGATATCTCCTTTGATCTCATAAATCTACTTTTGAGCTCATAAATCTTCTTTTGAGCTCATAAATCTTCTTTTGAGCTCATAAATCTACTTATGAGCTCATAAATCTTATTTTTGAGCTCGTAAACCTACTTTTAAGCTCATATATATGCTTTTAAGCTCAAAATTTACTCATGAGTTCATAATTCTACTTTTGAGCTCACATGTCTACTTTTGAGCTCCCAAGTCTTCTTCTGAGCTCACTATTAAAGTAACAGCAGCAATTTTTTAAGATACAGCGAAATGCTGCAAGATATCGGGAGAATCTGCTTGGGGTTTTGCTGCTTTGAACAGGGGTGAACTGGAAAAATATTTATCGGGTGAATAATACTAAATCTCCGCCCCAAGAGTTTCTGTCGCATTTGTAATTTTGAAACAACTCATCCGGAACATTGTCGTGCAATCTTATTCGTAATCTGAAACCGTATCTTCAGAAATTGTTAAGAGTTCTTAATTCCATCAGCCAATTACTAAAGGCTTTTCAAGCAAAACACACCAATAACAGACGAGAAAAAGGCCGCTACGTGTATTTAGCAGGATACGAGGGTGTAGGTCATTACTTGTGCTTGACCAAGTTTTGAAATTCCGTCTTAAATGTTTTCTACCTTCTCTGTTCTAATATTTTATGATGTTAAAATATGAATATGACTTACACGACAGTCGTCCTGACTTGCCGTTGAAGTTATACCGCACTTTGTTCACTCACTTATAAATGCTCGTTTCAATTTATCCACATAATCGTGATTTCATGAAAAGATTTGATATTGATGTTATTTTTTTCAATGAGTAGTCGATTCATGATCATTTACTTTTAACGTAAGAATTAATTTCATTCGTTTCCTGTCTATCTTGGACAATTACACTGCTTGAATTTTTTCTTCTACTTACAATCTGGCAGCAATTTTTTAATTGCTGTTAATTTTTTATACCTACAATTTTGCTGCGATTTTTAGCGTGAAATAATTCTTACATTTGGAATGTTGTAGCGATTTTTCGCGTGAATTTATTCTCATGCTTTCATTATTGTAGTGATTTTTTAAAATAAATGTGAGAAAAATTACCATAATTTCTTTAATCCCTCTTACTGCCAATTGAGTTTCAGTGCAGTATCGTGATGAACATTAATTAATTGTGTACATCCTAGCTTGGTGGGGACGTCCAACAGAACTAAGTTCTTCGCTTATTGATCCGAGATCAACGACGTAACTCAGATCCGGGGGATAAAGCCTTTGAACTATACAGACCTTGCTAGTTATTTTAGCCATACTTCCTCTGTAAATTTGAGGGAGGATTCACCACCACATTTACTACAGCACCTTCGAGCGTTTTTCTTTCTTGCCAAATCAATATTATTGTTGTGATCAGGATGAAATCAGGTCACTTGCATGTCAAAAATGCCATGTTAAACATTCAGGTAGCAATAACACTCAAATTTCACACTTTCTAGGCAATGTGATCACCTTTTGCTTAGCGCCAAAGTTCAATTGACAGTCGCATCGAAATGTTAAAAGTAATTGATGCATTGCTAAGACTCTGTATTCAACTTACAAAAACTAGACATGTCCGAAAACATAGAATAAACTCACTGGATGTTATATGTGTTGAAATTTAGCCTGAGCCTATGGCCTACACAGGAATATACGATAGTGGAATTGTGCAATAACCAAGATCGAACTCGTCAAAAATGGATATTGTGGGCATGGCTGAAGAAATTCTCATCCAAAATAAGAGCGTCATTTGATGTAAATTTAAAACTCTAACTGAGGAGCTAAATTTTAATTTAACACTCTAAGTGAGGAACTTAATTTTATTTTCAAACTCTAAGTGAAGAACTTGCAGTAAATAAAAGATTTTAAGCGCGGAATTTAATGTTAATATAAAACTCTAAGTGATGAACTTAATTTTAATTTAAAACTCCAAGTGAGGAACGTGATGTAAATAAAAAACTTTAATTGAGCAACTGAGTTCAGGAACTGAGTTCAGGGTGTGGTATGGCAAGTGGCATGGTGCTCAATACTCGTGCCGTGTGATGTGGTGTGTGGAGTGTCGTGGTGATGATAGTGATGATAGAGGCACCAGATACAGCAGAGTATCTTGTTAATACCTGGCATAATGTGGGGCTGTCTTTACATCGTTATTATTCATGCATATATCATCATTCAATATAATATAATTCAGTATAGATTTTATTTACAATTACAACATTTTAACGATGCGTTATAAACGTCACAACTTCAAAGTCGAAACAATGTCGTAGAGCCATTACGTGTTGTATTATAACGTCAACAAGACGTTGCTAAATTGACGTTGCTTAAGTTTCAATACTGGACCAGGGTTCAACATGATTTAAATTTCGTGATCAGAGGTTGGTTCAACGTTGATTGAACCAGATAAAGTCTGCAACGATGGAATTTTAATTT